AACATATGGAACATTAAGGTCTTTATGGATGATTTTATTTGTGACAAAGTAAGAAGCGTTGAGGATTTTACGAAGGATTTTAGATTGTAAGGATTGGATACGAGAGGAATTCGATGGTTTAGTGGAGCCCCAAAGCTCAATTCTTTAAGTCCAAATAGGTCTTATTATTGTCATATATATGAGTCGTTTGTACTCGCAATACTTGTGATGTGTGATTGAAGAGTTTGGGAAGCAATAGATGGACCGTTATTAACTGATAGGATACACGTGTCATCGGCATAGATGGTGATGACAGTGTTGGATCAATGTTCTTAAAACGTCCATTTCTTTTTTTTTTCCCTGTAATTCTCTCTGTTCATCTTCATTTTCCTCTGCCACGATGATTTTTCTGTAGTTTTAAATGGTTTTAGTGAAGTTCTTTATTGTCATCTTTTATTTCGTTATCTAAACTGATAGCTCTTAGAACTATCAAATCCAGTTTTGATTGGCCCAAATCAGTTTAGGAGAGATATTTGCTTTTTCCATTGCCTTGTATACTGCGGATCTGTAGGTTTTACCATAAGCAGCTCTAAAATCTATGAACCAACTATACTCAGTCCACCGATACCTTACTAGACTTATTTATTATTTATTCTCCTCATAACCTATTATCCTCCACGCAAATTCCTGTTTCCTTCCTTTCATCTCACGATCTCATTGAAATGTCGTCCGACGTCTCTACACCGACACTTATACCCAAACAAATTTCCTGAAGAGGTCTTAATTCCCTAAACAATGAAAATATCAATCCTTTTCTCGATTCTCTATCTGTTTCCTTAGAATCCATTTTCTCCCTTTCCTCCATCGATGACATGGTCGAATGGCTTTCCTCGAATCTCTTTGATTTCCTTAATAACCTCTTAAAACCCGTACTTTCAGACGTCCTCCTACTCTCTGCATTAATTCAGAAATAAGAGAGCTTATGAGAAGAAGAGAGGCTGCCAGAAGACGCTACAGATGTACACGACTGCCTCAGAAATGTTTGCCTTTAAATCCCTACACAAGTATCCTTACGCCGCGACAGAGCCCAATACTTTAATAATATTTTATCCCAAGCACCTAACCCTAAATCCAAATGGACAATCCTGAAAAACCTCTTTATCATCAGCTCCAAAACTTGTACTCAATATCAGTAGATCCGAACGAGCTAAATTCCTTTTTCGCTAACCATCTTCCTTCCGAATTTGCATACGACCTCTCACTTTTTTTTATCACCGAAATCTTCTTTCATCCTGATAAATTTTTATTTCTCCTACTGACCTATTATATGCCATCTTTAAATCTTAAGCCAATGACTATGGACCTGACCAAATATCTATTAAAATCATTAAACTCTGCCTTCTTGTCCGCACTTTTACACATATACAATTTCTCTCTCCGAAATTCCATTTTCCCCAAAGCCTGGATAAGAGCCATAGTCCGCCCGTTCAAAAAAGTAACTGCTCCTTCCTCAGCTTCCGGTTTCTGACCCAAATCAATTTTATCCAAGCCACTGGGAAGATTAGTCCACTTTCAGTTTAACAACTTTCTTGAACAAAACAGTCTTCTCAATCCTTTACAAACCGGTTTCCGTTCCCATTATTCTACCCAATCTGCCTTGTTAAAGATTACCCAAGACCTCCAATGATGAATAGAAAATCTTTATCCTAATCCTTTTCAAAAACCTTTGATTCCGTCTATACTAAGATCCTTCTTTCTAAACTCCAAAGCCTGCCTATATTAAATAGTGTTCTAACATGGTTCCACCACTCCCATACAGTTGTCATCTCTAACAAATCTCTATTGTCACCAATTAACACAGGGTGTTGCTCAGAGCTCATCACTCTCTCCCACACTTTTCTCTTTTTATATTAGTGATCTGTCTGACTCCATTCATCACTCCCGTTACCACATATATGATAATGACTTCCAAAGGTACTAATCGTTCCAACCTTCTACGATGCCTGAGGCTACTCCAAAGCTACAAGAAGATATTGACAGCATCTACAGATGGGCAGAAATCAATGAGCTGAAGATGAACATAGAAAAATCCAAGGCTATTCTCATCGGTTCCAGATATATCATTAGTTCCCTTCCTTATTCTCCTCTACTTTACTTCAAAAACCACCCCACTCCTTTTCTTCCAGAAGTCAAAAATCTAGGAGTAACCTTTGATCATAACCTCTCCTGGAATAACTGTCCTTAAACAGCTCCTTGTGACCTCTCGCTTCGACAATGGTTGCTTGGTTTATGGAGGGCTGTCTGCTAGACTGGAGATGAGATTAAAGAGATTTATGAACTGTTTCATAAGATTCATCTTTGGAATTCCCAAGCATTCTCATAGTTCCTGCTGGTACAAGGAGTTGAAGTGGCTCTATCCTACCTTCCAATGACCATTCCTTCTTGGTGTTTTCTTCTTCCAAGTCCTCAGAACCAAAAATCCTTCCTACATTCTAAAACTCCTTACTTTATGTTTCTCTACCCGCTTTCTTAATACCAGATCTCAACATAATGATTTATATATTCCCTCCCATAAAACTACTTCCTTCAGCAAATCGTTTGTAATTTGTGCTACCACCTTCTGGAATTCTTTACCCATCTCCAAATGGCAACCCTCATCCATAAATTTCTTTAAAGAACTCTTATTCCACCACCTACTTTATTTTCAAACCACTATATTTATGTAATATTACTGGAATCTGTAATTACAATAGCTCATTAACAATTAATCGACAAGTATCATTTGATTTGATTTATTTATTTTTTTGAAAATATGTAAACCGCATAAAATTCACTTAACTACTTAATAAACTGCATAATCCAATTAACTATATAATATTAATTGCAATGAACAGTTGAATGACAAGTACCTCTGTTTGTATTCTGTCAAGCCAGGCTAATGGATTCAATTTTTATTTTTTTTTTTTTTTAACTCTTGTTATTTTAAGGGGACTTTATTCCCAGAATAAAATTATTTTTCATTCCCTGTCTAGAGGTAACACTACCTAGGCAAGAAGACTACATGGAGGTAACAGTGTAGATGTAGTATGGATGATAGAATATTTGTTTGTAAATAGTGTACATTGTGTTATCCTGCTTTTATTGTAATTATTGTGTATAGTGTGTGGTTTTAAATGTTTGTTTATAATATTTGATTGGTGTGTTATATTGGTTGGGTATTAGAAGTGTGGTTGGTTAAGGTCTGTCCTGCTTTGTATATGTAGAATAAAATACGACAGAACTGAAAACGTTTTTATATAATTGAGAGAAGGATTTATTCCCAACTTTTGAAACATTAATTTATTTTTAGCACTTTGTAGTTAAGTTAGGAAAATAACTTTTCTATAAAAGCTGTAGTTAAGTTTGTATACTTCAATATTGTATATAAATATATTTCAGCAATGTCCCCTAGTAAAACAGATAATTAGGTAAAATTAAGAAAGTATGCAAGTTAACATGTCTAGTTTGACTGAGCTATTTAGTCTATTTAGAGGAGACAGAATTTTGCATTATATTAGTTTTTTCCAAAACTAATATAATACACTCGAGGTGAATCTCAGCTTATTGAGAAATGTGCCTCCATTTACTTAACTTAGCCTCAAGGCTTATAAAAAAAGGTAAATTTCTAAAAAGTAGACCAGGTATAATACTAAGAGATTGATAAAAAAAACAAGAACTCTTCAGGTAGTTCCAAAAAAAAAACAAATATGTATTTGTTTATGAATGAAAGTTAATCTAGCTTACAGTAATGTGATAGAGAATTACTTAAAAAAAAAAATAACAATTTTCTGGTTTTCAGTGTGGAATGGTACCATGGTCTATATGAACTTGGTTTTTTGCTCTTGAAGTCTACTATAACCTCTTTGAATGTTTTCATTATTTATGGCATACCTTGTATATTCCTTAAGTGAAATACTATATCTTTACAACAGAATTTAATTGTAATTAAATCAGCAGAGGGTAGTGCAGGTGAAAATGAAATCCAAACTATTTTTAAGTACCAATAAAATTAGCATTGAGAACAGGTGTGTTCATAGAATACAAAAATAGTTTTTTATTATACAATTTTATGATTATTATTTTCTTTTAAATTGCCAAAAGCAGGATTCTAGTGATGCAAACCCTTAAAGAAGTGTTGGCATTAATAAATAAAAATGTACTATTAGTTGTCACGTTATATTATTTTTGTTGATATAACTATTTTTCATAAAAATACTAATCAACCAAGTTAAAATAAAATGACTTCAAATTTATTTAATATAACAGCTTTAACATCAATAAGTCAATGTTTCATTAAAGATATATGTACATCTCAAGTATGTATTTCTGTGAGTATTAACACACATACACACACATCTCTACACACATAAATAGACATATTTTATACATGAATCTATGTATATATGCTTAAAATAAACATATATCTCCAAAAATACACACATATATGCTCAAATAACACATAGATATAAATATATGTGTGTAAATCCTAAGGCCCAATACAGATTTTTTTAAAAATCCTGTATATAACTTTATTAATAATGAAACACAGATATATGTAATTCTAAAGAGTATGGTAAATATAATTTTTAAAAAATTAAGTATAATACGTTTTAAAGCAGTCAATAAATTCACCTTTTATGAATACTTGTAAATAAGTGAACAATGCCATAAACAAATACGAACATATCCCTAAAATACATATAAGCATAAAGAAAAATATTAGTCTCCAATTATATACACATTACTGAAAACGATTATTAAATAAGATTATCAAAACTAAATGTTAAGGACTACTAAGCCATTAACCAAAACCATAAACAAAACAAGAAATGTAATTAGTCACACAAAATAACATAAGAAAATCTTATTTGGTATAGGATAACATATACTTACATATTAATGTACAAAATTCTTACAATCTAAAATGTTTTTTAAATTATAATAATGAAAAGAAGCAAATAGTTGCTATTTATTCTCTGTAATGAGTATAAATATAAATATAAAATCAACTTTTGACTTTAAACAATAAAATACTTCTTTTTGATCACAAACGATTATAGTAAAATTACTAACACAAATCACTTTCATGAGAAATGAAACTATACAGTAATTAAGAAATGTTCTAAATTAATATGGCTGATTAAATATAAAATTCACAAACATTTTTAGCAGTGAAATAAAACCTGAAAATAATTAAAAATAAATATATATTGGTTCCAATTAAAAATGTTTGAACAATAATAAGAGATTCAAGTATAGAGCTCATACGATATATGTTCACATCTCTTTAGACATAAATTCAACTTATCACATTTAAGTGAGCTACTAAGAACAGAGTAAAGAAAATATACATAGGTTAAGGTTAATTAGGCTCATTCCTTACGGAATATTTATCTTGTATTATATTTATCTTGTATGTGGCCCCTAAAAGAAGTTTCAATTTTTTTTTTAATATATATTGTTCTTAAATACAAGACTGTAATTGAAATCCCTGACAGCCAATCCAGGGGTTATACCTTAAATATCAATAAACTATCTTATAGATGTGCCTCTAATAAAAAAATATTTCAATTAACAACTCCACCTGAAGCAGAGTAATTTTATCGCAATTGATACTTCCCAATGAATTATTTAAGTAATAATAATATAAAATGAAGGCCCCACATTTACCCAATAAAAACATATTTTTTAAAAACAATATTAAGCTAATTTTCATAAAAAAGTTATACAATAAAAATAAAATAATTTAGATAAATCATGTTAACTAGCATAAGCTACAGATAAACCACTCCATACTAAAACTATTTGCTTACTTCCCTAACCTCTCCCATCAAACAAATTATATCCGCTATGACAGTAATAATTAAACCAGGTTTCGTTCCAACACTCCAATAATCAGAAATAAAATAAACTGAAAATTCAAAAGAAAGGCATGAAAAATATATTGGATCGAAAAATATATTTTATCGGATCGAAAAAGATATTTTACAATTCAAAATCAATTATTTCCCACACATAAATATTTATTGATTATATATGTATATATACTGAAAATAAATATATTACTAATTAAACCAATGAATTTCTATTTAATAAAATTATTAAACAATTACTAAGCTAAAAGCCTTTTAAAATGATTTACAAATGTGTAGATAAAAAACTATTAAATTTAAATTAAAAATGACCTAAAACTACGATTATACAATGCTAAATTATAATGTAGGTAAAATTTTTAAAAATTGATACAATATCGATTTGTCCCAGTTCTACCCTTTAAAAAATAAGAAATAATAATCATAAAAGATGAACATTTATTAAAAAGTTAACTCAAAACAGCTAACACTACAGAAAAAAATAATATATTTGATACAATAATTCATGTATTTATACATATTATAACATATGAATTCATGTAGCACATATACACATACGAACACAAGCTCAACAAGTGAAACTAGATAAAAATAATTACTTAAAATAAAGTATGACAAAAAAACAAAACAAGTTCCAGTATAAAATAAAAATGAGTCTTAAGGAAGTTTTTAACTAAAAATAAGGGTGGCATTGTTTACATTTCTTTTCTAGATACAATCAATTTCAGGAATAAAAAAGAAAAAGTGTTTGGAAGCCAATTATTAAAAACCCTTTTAAGTACATTTGTAATAAATTTATGGACTTTTATGAATTACTAAGGTACACAAATGATTAAAACGGTAGGTAATCAATTTATATAATCTAGATTTTCAGTTTTATTAATTTGTATCAAATATGGTCAGGAATTTAAAAAATATTGAGAATAAAATAAAAAATTAAACCTTTAAATTAAAAGTGAAATAATTATATTAAGTTGAAGAACAGATCTACTTGTGAACAGAGAAGTATTAACATATATTTTTCTATAAAAACTATAACATACTTTTTACAATATTCGCCCGCTTTTCATTATATGCATAATAAAAAAGAGCAAATATTGCAAGAAGTAGGTATTGGTTTTTAAATCATATAGGTTATAATAAATATCAGAAAACTTATTAAATTTGATTTTCAATCCTTAATATCATAAGGAATAAACAACATTCTTAAACAAATAAAAAAATATATATCTTTTTTATATATTCTCAAGTGACTTATTGAAACATATCTGTAAAACTATTGACAAAAATAGAAATTTCTTTGTTAAAAATAAATTTAAGAGAAATCATTTTTCACAGAATTAATAAATATTTGGGCAAATACTTAATTGAAACTTGGGATTCAATAATAGGAAATTATTCTTTGAAAATTTAATCATAAACCACTTAAACATACAAGAGGGAAGGTGAGTTAAACCAGTATGTTAGAATTTCTTTTTAAGTGAAAAGAATCGATAATCATTAGTTAGCCTCAAAATTTAAATAACATTTAAAATTTTATTAAATGAAAATTCTATACTGTAAATGACATATTTTTGTCTTAGTTATATTAAAAAATACTTTATTAACTCATCGAAAAAATATTTCTATTCTTTTTTTTTCATCTCATTTTGTTCTTCACCATTAATATTACAAGAAAAAGTTTAACTAGTAACATTCTACTGATTTTAAAAATTAACTTAGCAATCATTTAATAGACATCCCCAGAATCATACAAAATTCTACAATATACATGTAAATAGTTGAATGCTACAATAATTCTAAAACTAAATACTTTATACTTTCTTAGTACACCAAAATAAATATACTTTCATAACTTTAATAACACATGTGCAACAGGAAAAACACCAAAACGTAGTTCCAAGTACAAATGTGTACTTGTTTTTATAAACTATTTTGTTTACTGAACAAGATCAATAAAACATATATTTTAAGATATGTTAAAAATCTCTAAATTATATATATAGAGAGTTGTTATATACGCACATATCATGTATCTTTTTAATATAAGATATACATAAACATCCAAATATATATTTATTTTTATAAAATAGGAAAATGTAACCACTAAAAAAAAGCTTTCTTTGCTCGTGTAATCATTTGAAAATTATATCTTTTTAGTGGTTTCATTTACAATAACAGAGAAAAGAGATTGACAAATATACATCACAAATCAATAACAAAACTTATAGAATTACACGATGCTAAATAACCTGAGTGTTCAAATATTAAACAGTTCTAAGTACTTATTAGAATTAATTATTTATACATACAACCTTTAATTAATTAATAAGTTTAACATAAATCAAATCAACAAACATAAAGTTTTACTACATCAAAACTAACTTAAAAACCATTTAAAACATTCTGGTTGTATAAGAAAAAAAAAGAAGTGAGACATTGACAGTATATGAACTGTACATGATATTCAACATCATTAAATTGATGTATGAACTACAACTATAAAGCTTTTAAACATAATATGCAATAATAATAATATCTTACACATATTAATTTGTAATAAAGGTCAATGTTAACTGGAATTGATGGTTGAGCAATGGCTCACATTGTACAATTCTAAATAAAGTAAATCTGACAGTGTGTGGAAAATCAAAATGATTTTAAAGAAAATTAAAAACAATAGATGATTTTAATCAAGTTCTCCAGCACATCCTGAGTCACAGAAAACAGCTAAGATTTGTCAATGTCTCAAATCAATTACATGGAGAAAATTTCAACATTATTAATACACAGATATTGGTAATAATTAATACCAAAAATAAGTGAGATGAAGTGGTTTTTAAATAATTGAAATTGTTATTTAAGAAAAAGTTGTAAACAAATCATAATATATTAAGTGAAACCACTATTCTGTAAACCACAATGCTGGAGGAGGACCAGGATATTGCGGCTTAGCAGGACTAATATAACCATAGGAAGCAGCAACCTGAGGATGTGTAGAAAATACAGCTGCTGGTTGCATATGAGCAGGAAGAGGGTGACTTGGATGACCACCTCCAGTAAGAAGAGGTCTGGTTGAAGAATGGTGTGCTGGAGGAGGTACACCCCTACTACACAAAATTTGGTTAATTTTATCTACCTTAAACAACTGAAACTGCTTTTAAATAATTAAAAATCAAAATACACCAGACCATCCAAATACCATAAAACATCAAGCTATAACTAATAATGAGCTATATTCCTCATCCTTTCTCTATGAAAATTTAAATGAAAAAAACAATCTGGATTAATTTATTAAAAAATATTTTCTGGTACATTCAATTAACTTATAATTATAAATGTTTATTCCTAATTAAAATAATGTATTTATTCGACAATTTTCACAGTACAATACTTATCATTATTAATTTTATTACTATTTTCATCAACCTACAATATTAACATTTTGAATCATTTCTTTTATAACATCAATTTTTCCTCCTCACATCAGGGAGCCTAGTGAGAAACGAAACTAATGTCACAACTTTATACTATAAACCATAAATCAACACAGAACAGGATTCTGCATTACACCCCTACACTTCAGAGAAAGATCGATCAAAATGACCTCCCACAAAATCTCCTAATTTCAAACACCTATAAATTTACTTGATGACAATTCAGAGGTCCGATAGACAGAGAATGAAATAATTAAAAAGGCATTACATAAAATTAATATAACCATTAACAGAGGACATTTCCTGTAATTCTGATCGTAAAGCCCATTGGCTTTGTAATCAGAATTAATTTACGAAATCTAGCGATAAGTGACAAATTTGTAAATGAGAGAGAGAGATTATGTACCCTTGAGTTAAAAGAAACATTTTTAATTGCATCCTTCTTGTCATGCACCGAGTTATGTTGTTGAGTAAAGAAGATTGATGTGATTTGATGCAGAATTACGACCAATCACCAATGACAAAAATGAGGTCTGGTTTAAGAGCACAATAATCTAGAACAAATATCTGAGTACGAGAAAGCAAACTAAATTTTCATTCTTCCAAATGAAGATCTTTTTAATAATGGTGGAAAGAGGCTGTGAGAATAATATGGCCATACACCATCTATTTATAGAATTCAGGCAGCCATATGATAGCATCAAGAGGGAAAAAAACAAAAATCTATGAAGTAACAGAAGAAACAAAAATCCCACTGAAGCTGATCCATTAAACCCAGATGAATTAGAAGGATAAAACTTTTAAAGTAAAGTTTCAGGGTCATCTGTAGAGAGATTTCAGGGTGAATAAGAACCTTGAAAAGGAAATCAGAGATTACGGAATCAAATCAATGAAACAGTATTAGGAAGACATATGGAGAAGCAGACAGTAGTTTTGGAGGATATCGTTATTGTTCCTAAAAAGTGGTAGGAGCCGCAGTACTAACAGTCAACGAAGATGAAATTAAATCACTATTTTATGTCATAAATATTCAGGACGCAGTCATTTTAAAGATTTTTATTGGTGCCGATGTTTCAACCCCAACATGTGGGTCATCATCAGGGTGTGTTTCGAGATCTGAAGATATTCAAGTAATCAATTAGTAGTAAGTAGCCCTGATGATGATCCACATATCGGTACCAATAAAAACCTTTAAAATGACTGCATCCTGAAAATTTATGACACATGATGTGTAGAACAGTCGACCAACTTCGTTCATAAATTCATTAAATAACAATTGTTGGAAGAAACAGTGAAAAATGAGAAACTTAAATAACCTTCAAGCATCTTTAAAAAGTTTTATGGATTTAGTTATTTTGGGACACAGGTTAACTCTCATAATAAAGAGGCACAGGAGATTGAGGATCCAATAGTATCTTTTTTTATGTTCCACTTTGGACTGCAGAAATATCTTTATTTAAATAAGATGAAAGGGACATCCTCATCAGTTGGTGAATGAGTTTTCATAGGATCTTTTGTACTGCAAGAGAAAGCAATGGGTGAATAATTAGAAAAAATAAGGAAATTTATTATGAGGCAAATGTACAATTAAACTCCGAAGATTTGTCTGGGATGGAACATTAAGCTAGGATGGGTGAAAATGAAATTCTGAGGAAGATGATGGAACAGCAACTATATGGGACAAAATGCATTGACAGGCAGTCCAAGGCTTAGGTGGCTGAGTATCTAATTCCTACAACCTGATTGATTGGTAACTCTAAACATGGTCTTCCTTAGTTTGGCTGACATGTTGGCTGATGTAATAATAATAAAAATTATAAATAGTTTATTTTATATAATCAACTGATTGATAAAAATAATAAAGTAAATGTTACCCTGTAGTAAAAGAAGGTACTTGATGTGTAGGGGGTAAGTAAGCTGGCTGGGTAGTTGTTACATAAACAGCCTGTCTGCGATAAAGGTCACTCTGATGATAAATGGGTTGTCCTGTCAATGGGGATAATCTGGTTCCCTGTGGTGAAACCTGGGATGCTGTATGCCTAAAAATAGTAAAATATTAAAACATAATAATCATTAGTTTTGTTAAAACATTAACACTCATTACTTAGATATAATAAAAATCTAATTAATATTTGTTATCAACCTATACTACAAATTAAATCTAATAACAATACATTATATAATATATTAAATTATAAATTATTTAAATATTATATTAAAATATATTGTTTAATGTTTAACTTTGTGTTGATTATTTTATGGCAAATAGAAATGTAAATGCTCATTTGCTCAAAATCTTAAATTTTGGAAAGTTCTTCACCGATTGTACCATAATACTGATAAAACCATGGGCGTATTTAAATTTATCTTAAATTTTGGAAAGTTCTTCACCGATTGTACCATAATACTGATAAAACCATGGGCGTATTTAAATTTAACGTTTAAAGTTTAATATTTAATATATTGTTTAATGTTCAACTTTGTGTTGATTATTTTATGGCAAATAGAAATATAAATGCTCATTTGCTCAAAATCTTAAATTTTGGAAAATTCTTCACCGATTGTACCATAATACTGATAAAACCATGGGCGTATTTAAATTTAACGTTTAAAGTTTAATATTTAATATATTGTTTAATGTTCAACTTTGTGTTGATTATTTTATGGCAAATAGAAATGTAAATGCTCATTTGCTCAAAATCTTAAATTTTGGAAAGTTCTTCACCGATTGTACCATAATACTGATAAAACCATGGTCGTATTTAAATTTAACGTTTAAAGTTGCATTTAAATACGCGCATGGTTTTATATACTTACTATTATAAAATATCAAGTAAAACTATATATTTTTATTAAAACAGCACCATCTATTGGATTTAAAAGCAACACATGCTGTTCAAAATATTTAACGATACCACTTCATTGTTTCAGATTTGCAGATATTAAATCTGACATTGCATTGACGTTCATTAGTGTGCATAACATTAATTTAGTGTGCATTAGAGCTGCCTTCCACCTCCTCAGAAAGATTTCGTATACCCCCTCCAAAGATATTTGATTTCCTACTTCTTCTGAAAATGAAACCTTGATTAAATGTAGTTATGAAAATTGTTGTAGAAAAATAAACCCTAATGTAAATGCCACATGCTTATTCCAATGTAATGTTACAGAAATTAATTTAGTCAAAAATAATATTGAAATCTATGAAAAACCGATTTCTCAAAGCAATCTAGAAACATAAATGATGATAATTATTACTCAAGGTTTCACTATTTTTAAATAATTGCACAGCAAATATTTGAGATGTACTACTTTCCGACCACATTGGAGGAAAAATATAAATATGATTATTAAAAGCATATTAACCTAAATAAAGAGAATTGTATTACTCCACCAAATGATAATCTCAATTATTTAGGTAATTATAAAAATATCGATTAATTAAACCTCCCATCCCCCCCAAAAAAAGGAAATGGCCTTTGCCAAAGAAAAAGTACTGAATGTTTAAAACGATTTACCTCTGTAGCGAATCATCCAATTTCAATGTTTATTTTTTAATTAGCAGGGAATTGAAGAAACTTTGGTCACAGCTGTTTTGGTACCAATATATGCAACACAAATTTTTTGGCCGCCATTTCGAAACGAAAGGTTGGATGGTAATAAAATGTTCATAAAAACACTCCTGAATTCGACTGCAACATTGTGTCAAAATTTCAAAGCAATCAGTGAAGAATTTTCGGAGATTAGCAGTTTTGAATAAATGAACATTTACATTTTTATTTTTTTAACACATATAAAAACATCCCGGGAGAATGTTAGAACAACTTCCTAAAGTTTAATGACGATCGGATGAATGGTGTAGTGATGCATAAAGGACAAACAAACAAACATTTGTTTTTATATACATAAATTAATAGAAAAATGAAGTAATACTACTAAATTTTATTAAAGGAGAATTTCATTTGAAGAGCCACATAAAACATATTCTTTTATTAATTTTTTTATGAATAAAAAGTATATTTTAGTATAAATTTATTACAATACATTCCAGGCCACAAAAAAAAAAAAAAAAAAAAAAATTAAAAGCTTTGTTCACTGTTATTTCTTTTGTTGAAAACAATGAGAGAGAATTTCACACCATACTATTGTTTTAAAAAACTGAATTGAATATCAGCTTATTTTATAACAGACCTCAAATTATTTAAAATTGACTCCAAGCTTATAACAACAAGGAAACTTTCTAAAATAAAGAAATCTTTATTCCAGTAGAATGTTGATAAAATAAATCAGGAATCATTCATGATTTTACAAAAAACAAAGCCCCTTTGAAAGAAGGGCTGCGATCAGGTGAGTCCAGGTCTGGTGCAAAATAATATTGTGGGCCTCATCTATCTCAATATCCCTTGAGTTTTATTTCAATTATTTAAAAAAAAATAACATTAATACATGGATTAAGTTATTATGAAAACGAAATTTAATACATTATGAATAATGAGGATTGAAGATAAAATACAACAAATTAAAAAACAATTGTATTAGTATATTTTAAAAATAAAAACTTAAGTGAGGAGAGAGTTCATAATAACACTAGCTGAGTTTGAACTGTTTTCACTTTCAAAAACTATTCAATCTTCTATTTTTGGGAAAATTAGAGGTTCTTGCTAATTTAGTCTTTATAAAACAATTTTTTTTCTCTTTAAACTATTAACAACGTACATATTTATAATTTAGGCTACATCGTTGAAGAGTGATAACAGTACATAATATCATTTAGGGGAAAAAAAACAGTTTCTGGCCCCTTTTAAGGTAACTTTGAAAGTTTTTTGTCTCATTTTAAATCATGTGGGTATTTGGTTCAATAATTTCAATTCAGTTATGTCAATAAGGACCTCTAATCTTAAAATGTAAGAATATGTGTATGTGCCAATTTTTGGTTGTTGTGGTTTCACCATTCTGAATTCATCTTTTAAATTGGATCCAGAAATATGTTTTTTTGTTAGAATAGAGAAGTAGACAAGATTAATATGCAAACTAATACGCATTAACTGACTAGCAAAATTCTCTTTAGATAAAGCTGAAAATAAATAAATAAAATAATTATGATAACAAATAACAAAATAAAACTGTAAAATAGTTTTTGGCTAGCTGAAATCTGAATATCCTGGCAAGCTGGAAGCTAGGGCTAGGAGGTACCAAAAATCAATCCATGTGGGTCCAATTTTTTGGCAATATGGGTGCCCAAAACAAACTGAATATTTCAATTTTCCACAGACCAGCTTAGAGAAACCACTTTAAATAATAAAAAATGAAAATTACAAAATATGATGAAAATTTAAATACATAAATAATGAGTTTATATCTTGCAAAATTCTTAAAAATTGATATATTCTTAAATAATTCCTATTAAGTGTCGAAAACTGGAATTTTACCATATTTTAGAATAAAATGATTTTATTTACATATATTTAAGCTGCTCCTAAAAAAAAAACCTCATCTTTGACCAACTTAAAAAATATTTTCAAAGGCTGTTCTTCTTACATAATAAAAAGTTTGAAAATCAACCTTCAGAATACAGCATGAGACAGTTTTGGGCAGAAAGAACTATTTCATACTTAAAATGGATAGCTGATTTTTGTCAGTTCGAACCTTTATAAAAGGAGCCCGTCGTTTGTTAAAAAAACTTTGATTGAATTCATGTTTTTATCAGGCTATCTGGCGTCCTGAGATTTGATTAAGTGCCGCCACTTTCTTTCTGGTTACATGTTTGTTTATAAGACCATGCAGACGACACAATATTTCAACATATAACATAATAATAACAACAAAAGCTGTTCTCAACTATCAAATGAGCAGATTTGATATCCGATTCGAACACCCAGCTCCATTATTTCTTTTTGATTACTTGATCATCTGATTTAGTAGTCCTCCTCATTTCATGTTCATGAGATACCTATTTAATAACTTTTTTTTTTTTTTTATTTGAATACTGGTTGTTTGAGTGGCAGCCTTAAATTTGAAAGGCATTGAAAAATATAATTATCAGATTTTGTATATTTGTAGGAATATGAGGAAATATTCATCCTATTGTTGTTCAGATTCCACTTTTCAGATTTCTTCCACCTTCTTTTCTTACATTCCATTTCACTTAAAACAAAAGCAGTAAAAATACCCATAATATTTTCAAGACACGTTCGTTTATTAAATAATCAACAACAGGCACATTTCTTGTGGCTATAATTTCCTTCTAGTAAAGTCCTCTATGCACCTCCTTTCACTGAGATCTCATACTTCTGATCTTTTTATCCCTTTTCACCGATCATTTGAAAACACCTTCAACCATTAACAACCACTTTCACGTTTTTCTTTCCTCTTAAAATCCAGCATGCCTCTCCTTACACTAGCGGATCCAGGATTTAATTTTGGGGGGGCTTCAGCCCGAAACCTTTTTTTTTCATAAAAATAACGATAATTACTTTGGAATAACAGAAAGAAACTAACTACCTATATGAAATGGTGTTTAATTTATTCCTTAAGTACTTTTAAATGTAATTACATGAACAATAATACTTTAAGAGGTATTTTTAAATTTTTTTCCCCATAAAACATGGTTATATTTTTCCATTTTGGGGGGAGGGCTTCAGCCCGAAAGCCCCCCCCGTAGATCCGCCCGTGTCTCCTTATACACACTTACAATACTGATACATATTCCAATTATTCCTCACAAACCAATCAGGCATTAGCTAATCATATATCACATAGCAAAGCTTTAAAAATATTTTATAACACTTTTCATGTAACAGCAGTATCATAACAAGAATTTTTTTCTTTACAATGTTACTTTAATCATTTATGATGTCACTTTAATAATTTATTGAATTATCATTTACAATGTCATTTTCTTAATTTATCATATACGATATCACTTAACTAATTTGTTGATTTATAATCTAGGATTTATTTCTATTAATTTGAAAACTTTGCTTATTTCTAGTCTGTTTTTGTATCTAGCTTACTATCCTTTTTTTACTTATTGTTTATC